CCTCCCTGCTACTAGTTCTTCGTCTTTATCTTTCTCCTGAGGTAGAAACGATACATGACAATATATTCATGCTCATCCAGGGCCAACCTATAGGGCGCTTGCTTGATCGGTTTCGCGTCGCCTGTATCAATCTCATATTGGATCATGTTGATCTAGGTAAGTTCATTTAGCTCTTTGGCAAATAATCCTTTTTCTCTCTCGAAAAGTTCTGCTGCGTCTTCTCGGTTCTCTTCTGTCAAGCCAATCAGGTCCACACTCAGTTTCTCGTCCTCATACTCCTCGTTGTCCTCCAATGTTGATATCTCCTCTAGGACAGTCAGATATACCACTGGGCTTAGAATCCCTTTATCCATCGTTTCTTCCTCTTCGGACTGTTCCCCTGTATAATACCCTTCCTCCTTTTCTACGTCCTCGCTTTCATACTTCAACTCGTCGAAGGTATCTTCACTCTCGTCATCACTTACTTCCAATTCGTTGGGCCGCGCCAACCCCTCTATGCCGTTGTGTGAGATTGGTACCTCTAGTTCTTTCCCTCAATACCTCAACAGTATTTTCCGTTCGTCGAAGTGGATCCTGGCATTCCCTCTTTGGAACCAGTCAGTTCCAAATAATAACGTCTCATTTCTGGACTCTATGACCCTTAGCGTCGTGGGGATGATTACTTTTTGCACCATTATACCTACCTCTTTTACTTTTCCTAGGGTCCTCTCCCTTGTCCTATTTGCAGTGACGATGACGGAGATCGACTTCTCGTTGATCTTTAACTGAAGTTTGTCCAACAATTTCTTCGTAACGATACTTACCGCTGCCCCTGTGTCTAGGATAGCTATTACCGTCTGGTTTCCAATCCGCACATAGCATTTAGCTGCGGTCCTTTTAGGAGTATCTATTGAGTTCACTTGGTTTAATTCCACTGGGGTTTTGCTCGTTTCAATATTTTCGAAAGGTTGCGCTGCTGGTCGGTGTACTTCAGTAGTAGCCCATAAGTTGCGTTTGCTTTCATGGATAGGATGTCCTCTAAGATGTCGTACGGATATAGTGAATCCACCACTGATGGTAACCTTTTTCGTCACGGCTTCTTAGTGGCTCCCATTGCTTTGGGGGGCTCCACAATCACCATTGGCTCCTGCGTCCTTATATATTTTGATGCTTTTTGCGACTTGTCTACGCTTTCCTTCTCCGGCGTCTCGGTCGGCTCCTCTTTTTTACTATTGGCGTGGTGGCCCCCAGGGTGTATGCTTCCTCTTCTTCTTCTTCGTATTCTTTCTCAACCTCTTCCTTATACAATATTGCACCTGCGAGGTTACAGTCTTCGGAGGTTCTTTAAATACTTTTTTTTCGGGGCATCGTCAAGCTATATGGCCCTCTTTCCCACAGCTGTAACAAACTAAGCTCTTCCTCTCTTTGTTTTTCTACTCTTGTGGTGGTTCCCTCCTCGGATTCGAGTGGCTTAAGGTAAGTTCTTTGATTTGTCTTTCGAGCCTCTCTATGTTAGCTTCTAGTTGTTTTGTTGTATCCTTTGCTCTTACTTGGGTTTGTCGTTCGTAGTAGTTTCCTGCTTCCACTCTCTGTGCCACCGCGATGGCCTCTGCTAAGTCCTTCGGCGATGTCATGGTCACGAATGTAGCAATGTTACCCTTCAGACCGTTTAGAAACATCCTTACGACATAATCACCCGGAATCGTTCTTTTCGGGTCCACCCTGGTAAGCAAGCGTTTAAACTTCGTCGCATACTTATCCACTTTCTCATTACTGCATTGGCTTAATTTATTCAACTCTATTTGCCACCTGTGCCGCTTCTCCGACATGGCGAAATGTCCTATGAGTGCGTGCCTGAAATTCTGTGTCACCTCCGTATTGTTTTTCCATGCGGTAATTCCAGCTTTGTTTTCTTTGTACCAGTCAGCCACTAGGCCTATCATGTATCCCGAAGCCACCCTAAGCTTTTTCTCGTCTTTCCAGTCATTGAAGTCTGCTACTCTTTTGAACTCCTCCAGCCATTCTACCAGATTGTCGTCTTCTTCCCCGGTGAACGTCCTTGCCCTTGCTGGATCTGTTTCTCGTGTCCCATTCGACTTGTTAACTATATCGTC